TGCGTTTGTATCACCATATTCTGTTTTGTATTAGTTGCACTCTATATATGTTTGCCACATTTATTTATGGTATTTATATGGTCACTTATTAGTCAGTTTATGTCACATGGCCTTTTGATGCACATTGTGTTATGACCCTTTAGTCGCATGGTCACATTTTTTGGGCTCACTGTGCGTTGTTATTGTCATTCTTCTGTAATAAGTGGTTTGTCTACTTTTAATATTTAAGCACTTCATTTTGTATTTTTCACATTTTGCTCCACTTTCTCATTAGTTGTATTCACATTATTTAATTTATGTTATGACGGACTCCTATGTCCCACTATTACTGTGATTTAGTCAATATTTTATTTTTCCCTGATCATTTCCGTGCGTTTTGCCCACAGCCACGGTTTATTGTCTGTTATTATTTCACCTTTCCCTTCACTCCCATATTCTTTTCAATTGCTGATTAGGTTATGGTGTATTATCTATTGTCTTCTCATCTCATTCTTTGTTTTGGAATGTCTGTGGCATTATTGTGATTAGCTTAACATCAATTTTCTGTTTGTTGTTTTTTGCTAGTGATATAGCCAGGTGTGTGCTGCTGTCCCAATAGTCCCATCTTTTCTAGTAGCAGCTCAAAAATATTTTAAATATTTTAAAAAAATTTTACCTTCTCTGTCTATATATTCATACACCACTTTAACCCCCTTCAGAGCAGTCAAAACAATTTCACAAAATTCACATTTGGTACTTTATTGGACTTTTTCACTTTCACTGGACCTTTTTTATTGATATAATTGACTTCATTATTTTTCTTTGTTATTTATATTTTGCATTATATTATACCGTATATGTGCATTAGTTGTTCTAACTCCATACAGTATCTGTTGGTGTGCTTGCTGCTATATTCTTGTTATGTTTTCAATTTTAGTGCACTTGCAAAGTTTTTTCTATTCTTTGAGACTTCTGATGTCATCTGTTTGCCAAGGTTGTGGTGGTTGGGATCTGATTCTATGTGTAGGGAGGGGAGCAAGTGTGTTCAGGGAGAATAACACTGAACATTTGTAGACAGAAGTGGCTAGGCTGGGGCAGGGCAGAGGTGAGATTTTCTCATAGAGGTGGTCAGTAGCAGAGTATAGAAGAGAAGGATTGAGGTGGTGAATGGCTTTACAGGTAACTGTTAGGCGGTTGGAGGGAAAGGAGGTGAAATACAGGAAGAAAGTGAAACTAATGAGAAGGTGAGAGGAAAAGGATAGTTGGAGAGTTTGCATAGAGTGCTAAGGAAAGAGAATACAAGGTCAAGGGTGATACCATCAGAGTAAGTTGAAACATACATCGATTGCCTCGGGTCAAATGAGGACATTAGACTGAGAAGTTAGAAGTAGTGGGAGTGTTAATATTAACAGGGATGTTGAAGTCACTGAGAATGATTGTGGGAATTTCAGAAGAGAGAAAGTAGGGTAGCCAGGCAGAGAAGTCATCAAGGGAGGTTGATACTGGTCCAGGAGGCTAGTAGATCACAGCAATTCTCAAAGAAACTGAAGAAAATAGACAAATACAATGTACCTCAATGGGGAAAGTAACAGAGAAGGAGGTGAATGTAGTGCCTGAAAGGTGCTCTTTGGGGATAGAAGGATTCCAACTTTGCGTCCTTTCCATTCACTGGGTCTGGGAGAGTGAGTCCGGAGAAGGTCACCATGGGAGAGGGAAGCAGAAGAAGAAGTGTCAGATTCATGAAGCCAAGTCTCAGTAACAGCAAATAGATTAAAGGAGTTAGTGATAAAAGGGCTACGGTTGGAGGTGTGGTTGTTACAGAAAAAGTGGGTATTCCAAAGGGTGCAAGAGAAGGGGATGCTGGTTTTGGGAAGAAAAGTAATAGAAACTAAATTGTGGGGATTGAGACTATTTCCAAAAGGTGTGTGGTGATGGGTGCATTTGCCACAGTTAAATAATGAAGGCCTAGTGTTTGGGGACATATCTCCAGAGGTTAGGAGAAACAGAAGGGTGAGTGAAGTATTATGGGAGTGTGATTTTTATGAAGGGACAAGCCCCAGCATCCTCTGGGTTTTATTAGCATGTGGCTTTAAAATTAGGAGGAGTTGCAAAATGCAGTAATAAGTAGAGGGCAGAAGTGATGGGTGATATATACAGTATAAGCTTTGAGATAGAGAAGAAGGGTGAAGGAAAGAGAGCAAGCAATGCAAATGGGTGCAAGAGAAGGGGATGCTGGTTTGGGAAGAAGAGGAACAGAAACTAAATTGTGTGTATCAAAGCTACTTACAGAGGATGTGGGGTGATGGGTGCATTGGCCATAGTTAAATTATGAAGGCCCAGTGATTGGGGAAGCAGAAGGGTAAGTGAGGTAATATGGGAATGTGATTTATATGAAGGGACATGACCCAGCATCCTGTGGGATTAATTAGCATGTGGTTTTAGAATTAGCAGGAATTGATGAGTGCAATAATAAGGAAAGGACAGAAGTGATGGTGATATATACCGTATAAGCTGTGGGGTGGAGAAGAGAGGTGAAGGAAAGAGAGTTTAAAGAGAGAGGGACGGAAGCGTCGTGGCGTCATTCCAGTACGGATGGCAGCCGCCATCTTGGTACTCCCAATCTCATACACCCTGTACTGTTTGATACAGTGATTGCCTGTTTGGGACTGCAGACCTGTTTTATACATGTGAGTAGGTTTTCTTTGTGTCCTTTAATAAAGTATTTGATTTACTACACCATGGGAGCTTTTTTTCTGATCCTTTCTTGTGAGGATATTGGAGGAGGAGGAGATTTAAAGGTACACACCTTTAAGGACATTGGCACACCAATGGCACACCCCTTTTGACAACATACGTGGTACAAAACACGTTAAGGAGGAGCCTGCACGCCTTGACATCACGCCGCCGGATCACGGGGAACAGCGGCCATCTTTGCCTACCAGCTGGTCAGTGTATTAGGCAGCTTTAAGCTGCATGTACTCCTATTGATACAGATGCTTTCTGGATTTTAATCTCTGCACAATAAGACTCTATGTTAATACCAAATTACTACACTATGGGCACCATCCTTTTTTGCTCTGCACCGAGCATTTAATTTCTTAGGAACCCAGGTGACCATCCCAGTGTGCAGAGGAGGGAGATCCACATCAGGCCATATTCCACCTTACCTTAAAGGGGACCTCTGGCTGACTTCTTACCACCCCAGACTCCAGAAGATGGTTATCCATCCCAGGCTGTATTCCATCCTATCATAGAGGGGACCTCTGGCTGATTACTACATATTAACATACTGTGCATTTAAAATGCACATCTGGTGAGTGTTCATTTTTACTATACCCTGCACGTCTCCGGAATATTTGATTGCATACTACTGGGATAACAAGATTTACCTTTATCCGGATTACTGATATTTATTGGAACTTTTATTTATCTTAATTCCATTTGATTGGACGTTCATAATTGTTTATTCATTTCTTTGATTATCCACCATTATTTATGACATCATATTTCTCTGGATAATTAGCACTTTATTTGGGTATCGTAAAGCACTTTATATATATTATGAACTATTTATTCTGGATCATTAGCACTTTTTTTTAGATATCAAGCACTTTATATATCCTTGAGATTATACAGTCATTTACATAGATCCATTTTAGCGCTGCACATATATGTATTTATTTGACATTGGTGTTACTGCTTGACATATATGCCATGGAGAGGAGCCCTCGTTTGTCTTACTGTTGAGATCCACCTGGTCTGAGATCATCGGTCTGTGTTTATGCTTTGTGACCCCTTGCAGGTTTCAGATGGAAGGTGAGCACGCACGCTAGCTGGTGAAGGATTACCCATTTGTTGGGGTCACTAATGTTTCACTACTTGTGCTGAAGATTCACTGTTTGTGTTTTTTTTGGGACTATTTGTTCTATGTCACATTTTTTGCCATTGACATTATATGTTTTCAATTTTTTTTCATGCATCCACTGATCACTTTTTTCACTTGATGTCTTTAGTGCATCTATTTTATCTGCTATTTTTCAGTCACCGTTTATCTTTGTTGCTACTTGTTACACTTATTGTTGTTTTTACACCTGCTGTTTTAGAATTTTATGGGTTGTTCCCTTTGCACATTTTTTCATGTTTTATATGCTGATTGTTCACTTACTTTATGAATAAGTAGCGCAGCACCATTCCTTGTATACATTTCTTTTCATATTTGATTATAGTTAGGTGTTTGCAGCCACTTAGTTGGGTTTTTAGTTCATCTGGCAGCTCAGGAGGCTTCCCTTTTTCCTTATATATAACTTCTGCTGTGTCATCTTGGCACACCTGGAGTGGGAAGTTTTTGGTAGGGTCGGAGACCCACTTGGGAGGGAGAGGTAGGCCTAGCATTTAAAACAGGTTGCTGTCGATTAGGGATAGTTTAGAGACACTCCTGGACATCTGTAGAATTGGCATGGTGTACTAGTACAGGACATTAAGATCATCTCCATTCTTCAGTTCTGGCACAATTCTGTTCACTACACTAGCATGGACAGCATCCTTGGAGGGAAGTCACCTCTGTGAAGCTTTATGAGTACATGCTTAAGGAAGCATGTCTCAAAAACCTCCTGTATGTAAGCACTGCATGTTTGAACTGCCTCATACTGATATGCATAAATGCCTTAATGGATGAAGTGTATAAGTGTATTGTATACATATAACTGCTAATTATAGTATAAAATTACCGAATTTTTAGCTCCATAAGATGCACTTTTTTCCCTCCAATAAAGGGGGGGAAAATGTCAGTGCGTCTTATGGAGCGAATATGGCCGCTCAGCTCTTCTCTGCAGTAGAACCTTACCTGTTCCTCTCTCCAGCGCTGCGAAGTCTTCCCGCGCCGGCTTCTTTAGTGTGGGCTCTCGGCTGTGACAGCCGGGTGCCCAGTGCGCATGCGTGAGAAGCGCTGCACTTTGTGAATGGTACAGCGTCTTCTGGGACAAATGACAGGTCCCAGAAGATGCCGGACCAATCACAAAGCGCAGCGCTTCTTGCGCATGCGCACTGGGCACCCGGCTGTAAGCCGACACTAAAGGGAGGATAACTCTGCGGACGTGGGAGCGGGTACCTGTCAAATTCAGGTACCCGCTCCCCCTCCCTCCCCAAAGGTCAGCAGTCTCTTAGTCATCACCTGCACTGTCTGCAGTCTCTGGTCATCTGTACTATGTCCGCAGTCTCTGGTGATCCCCTGTACTGTCTGCAGTCCCTGGTCATTTCCTGCACCATGTCCGCATTCTCTGGTCATCCCTTGCACTGTCCGCAGTCTCTTGGTCATCCCCTGTACTGTCTACAGTCTCTGGTCATCTCCTGTACTGTGTCTGCAGTCTCTGGTCATCTCCTGTACTGTGTCCGCAGTCTCTGGTCATCCCCTGTACTGTCCGCAGTCTCTGGTCATCCCCTGTACTGTGTCCGCAGTCTCTGGTCATCTCCTGTACTGTGTCTGCAGTCTCTGGTCATCTCTTGTACTATGTCTGCAGTCTATTGGTTCAGAATATTTTTTTTCTTGTTTTCCGCCTCTAAAATCTAGGTGCGTCTTATGGTCAGGTGTGTCTTATGGAGCGAAAAATACGGTATATAAAAATGCTTAAAGGAGAAGATGTCACCTATTCACTTAAATCTCTGCCAAAGAGCTAGCCCCCCAAGATTGCAGGATTATCTAACACTTCCCAGATTAGAGAGTTTAAGGAGTATGAGGACATTCAAAGAAGGAATTCACATTATGAATAGGATTTGCAGGAATTCACCAATTGAGATATCCTGAGAGTAATATAGAGACAACATTTGGAAGTTTTGGTCTGCTTTGTATTATATTTAAATGCTAAGAATTACTTCCTTGGTCAGCCTTTGTTTTGTTTTGTGTGTGAAAATGTAATGTCTAGGGATTCTTAGAATAGTGCTTTCAAGATAATGTGCAAAATAATTAGAATGATTCTGTAAATATAAGAGATAACCGACAGAGGAAGAATGAGAAGATAGACTGGGCAGAAAAGAATAGAATTTATACATACTATCCAGGAGATGTTGTAACAGCTTCAGTATGCTTTAAGGCAGTAGTGGTCAGCTGTGCAAATATATAGGGTACCAACATGTTTAAAGGGCCCTGCAATAGGTTAGGGTGTGGTAAAATGTTGTAAAAAATCTGTTTAAAATTGCTAGTACAATATGTCACGATGCACCCAGAAAATATAATCTCTTTATAATCTGTTTTATTTAAAAAATAAATAAAATATAAATTCTTGAGAAAAAAAGTTAGTAGATACACTCATCTTACCCCCAACATCAAAACTGCAAGGGTCAATGTTTCTGTCGAGATCCCAGGAATGATGAATACCCCAAAAATTGGTCGGGGTTCCTTGGGCAACAAGACAGTCCTGCACTGTGTTGTTTGCTAACTCTCCCTCCTCCAGCTCCATTTTTTAAAAATATTTCTACTTTCTATTTCTTTTTCTACTTGTACTTACTTTGTATTGCCAGTTTTCGTCAGTAAAATCCACTGGCTAGGCAAGTACAGATGTTGTGGAAATTTTAGGGACCGCTTAGCTAAAATGTTCCCTTAGATACTGAATGTTTTTCTGCAGCAGACAAATTAAACAAGAAGGAATTTTAAATGATAATATACAGTATGACTGTAGTTAAAGAAAAGATTGTAAAGGGTTTCTTATTCATTGCAAAACCAAATAAAATTCTGTAGCCTTTAGTTGGCAGTGTCTTTTCCAATTTTCCATAATTCCACTTCACAAACATTGATGTTAACCCACTGCTATTTTTTTTTGTATGTTTTCCTCTTCCTGACTTTGACCTACCATTTAAAAAAAAAAAAAAAAAACTAATACATTGGTACTTCGATTAGTTATTAGTTCAGCCTTTTGTTAAAAATTGCATTTTCACAGAAAAAAGCATTGTGTCTTACACGCACAAGCCACTTATAACAAAAACCTTACATCTCTGGAGTTCTAAAACCATCTTTAGACAATACTGAATAAATAGTCTATAAGTAAAGTGGACTAGCTGCCCACCATCTCCGCTCATTCCTCTGTTAGCTTCAATAGCATTTCCAGTACGAGATCTTGATGAGATCACAGTCGTCCTACAGATGGATTACAGAGTTACTTCAAGATCGTTTTTTGTACAAAAGAGACCCTGTAAATATAGTAACAGAGTACACACACCACATCAGCAAGTATGAGACACATATATATATATATATATATACAGTATATATAGTGGCAGTTCTGGGCACTGTCACTGTGAGAGTCAAGGTTCTGTCCCAGGATTCTCAACTACACAGGTTGTGGGGCTCCACCCCGGCAGACAGGAGGTCATTGCCCAGGAGTCAGGAGGGCTCCACCTAGGAGAGGTGGGAGCCAGAGAGCAGGATTGTATGTATACCTGAGAGAGCCAGGAGGCTGAATACTTGTTTAATTTGTTTTGATGGTGGATACCCCTGTGTGGGAAACATGTTATAGAACTTTCCTTTAAATAAAATTGGGCTAAAAAGCCCTTAAAAAAAGAAGGAAGCAAGTGGCTGTGTTCTGTAAAGCTCTACATTTGATGCTAGTTCCCACATATGGTGGTGGATGCAGTGGGCAGAATTGGAGATCCCTGCAAAAGAATTCAGCTCATCAGTTATATAAACTGTGTTTATGTGCAATGGACAGCACAATTTGTGTGTGCAGGTGAGGAGAACTTGCAAGAGCAAAGTAACCTGCCTTAAAGAGACATTGCTTCATTTCTTTGTTGCTGGACTGTGCAAAAGTGTTGTGAAGTGACTGTGAAGATGGGGCGGTCAAAATTAAAAAAAGAAGCAAGGGTTGCTGAAATGAAAGACAGAGCCCTGTGGCTGGAGGGGTTGTTATCACCAGAACGAGCCCCATACATTTGATGCTAGTTCCCACAATATATATATATATATATATATATATATATATATATATATATATAGTATATACTGTATACACACTGTTCAAAAATATTAAAATAACTTTTTAATCAGAGTATAGCATCAAGTCAATTAAACTCCTGGAATATTGATCTGTTCAGTTAAGTAGCAGAGGGGGTTGTTAATCAGTTTCAGCTGCTTTGGTGTTAATGAAATTAGCAACAGGTGCACTAGATGGGCAACAATGAGACGATCCCCAAAACAGGAATAGTTTTACAGGTGGAGGCCAATGACATTTTTTCCCTAGTCAACGTACAGTCAGGTCCATAAATATTGGGACATCGACACAATTCTAACATTTTTGGCTCTATACACCACCACAATGGATTTGAAATGAAACTAACAAGTTGTGCTTTAACTGCAGACTGTCAGCTTTAATTTGAGGGTATTTACATCCAAATCAGGTGAACGGTGTAGGAATTACAACAGTTTGCATATGTGCCTCCCATTTGTTAAGTGACCAAAAGTAATGGGACAATTGGCTTCTCAGCTGTTCCATGGCCAGGTGTGTGTTATTCCCTCATTATCCTAATTACAATGAGCAGATAAAAAGTCCAGAGTTCATTTCAAGTGTGCTATTTGCATTTGGAATCTGTTGCTGTCAACTCTCAAGATGAGATCCAAAGAGCTGTCACTATCAGTGAAGCAAGCCATCATTAGGCTGAAAAAACAAAACAAACCCATCAGAGAGATAGCAAAAACATTAGGCGTGGTCAAAACAACTGTTTGGAACATTCTTAAAAAGAAGGAACGCACCAGTGAGCTCAGCAACACCAAAAGACCTGGAAAACCACGGAAAACAACTGTGGTGGATGACAGAAGAATTCTTTCCCTGGTGAAGAAAACACCCTTCACAACAGTTGGCCAGATCAAAAACACTCTCCAGGAGGTAGGTGTATGTGTGCCAAAGTCAACAATCAAGAGAAGACTTCACCAGAGTGAATACAGAGGGTTCACCACAAGATGTAAACCATTGGTGAGCCTCAAAAACAGGAAGGCCAGATTAGAGTTTGCCAAACGACATCTAAAAAAGCCTTCCCAGTTGTGGAACAACATCCTATGGACAGATGAGACCAAGATCAACTTGTACCAGAGTGATGGGAAGAGAAGAGTATGGAGAAGGAAAGGAACTGCTCATGATCCTAAGCATACCACCTCATCAGTGAAGCATGGTGGTGGTAGTGTCATGGCGTGGGCATGTATGGCTGCCAATGGAACTGCTTCTCTTGTATTTATTGATGATGTGACTGCTGACAAAAGCAGCAGGATGAATTCTGAAGTGTTTCAGGCAATATTATCTGCTCATATTCAGCCAAATGCTTCAGAACTCATTGGACGCCGCTTCACAGTGCAGATGGACAATGACCCAAAGCATACTGCAAAAGCAACCAAAGAGTTTTTTAAGGGAAAGAAGTGGAATGTTATGCAATGGCCAAGTCAATCACCTGACCTGAATCTGATTGAGCATGCATTTCACTTACTGAAGACAAAACTGAAGAGAAAAATGCCCCAAGAACAAGCAGGAACTGAAGACAGTTGCAGTACAGGCCTGGCAGAGCATCACCAGGGATGAAACCCAGCGTCTGGTGATGTCTATGCGTTCCAGACTTCAGGCTGTAATTGACTGCAAAGGATTTGCAACCAAGTATTAAAAAATGAAAGTTTGATTTATGATTATTATTCTGTCCCATTACTTTTGGTCCCTTAACAAGTGGGAGGCACATATTCAAACTGTTGTAATTCCTACACCATTCACCTGATTTGGATGTAAATACCCTCAAGTTAAAGCTGACAGTCTGCAATTAAAGCACAACTTGTTCGTTTCATTTCAAATCCATTGAGGTGGTGTATAGAGCCCAAAATTTTAGAATTGTGTCAATGTCCCAATATTTATGGACCTGACTGTATCTGACTGTTTTTCACTAGTTTTGCATTTTGCTAGCGTCAGTGTCACTACTGGTAGCATGAGGCAGTCCAACTCCTCCAGGATGGCATATCAATACATGCCATTGCCAGAAGGTTTGCTGTGTCACCCAGAACAGTCTCAAGAGCATGGAGGATATTTCAGGAGACAGGCAGGTCCTCTAGGAGAGCTTGACAGGGTCATAAAAGGTCTTTAACCCATCAGCGGGACCAGTATCTGCTCCTTTGTGCATGGAGGAACAGGATGAGCACTGCCAGAGGCCTATAAAATGACCTCCAGAAGACCACTGATGTGAATGTCTCTGAACAAACAATGAGAAAAAGACTTTGTGGGGGTGGCTTGAGGGCCCGACTTCCTCTAGTGGGCCCTATTTTCAGTGCCTGGCACAATAGAGCTCGATTGGCATTCGCCATTGAACACCAGAATTGGCAGGTCTGCCACTGGCACCCTGTACTTTTTGCAAATGAGAGCAGGTTCACCCTCAGCACATGTGACAGATGTGAACGGGTCTGGAGAAGCCATGGAGAGCATTATGCTGCCTGTAACATAGTTCAGCATGAACGTTTTGGTGGTGGGTCAGTGATGGTCTGTGGAGACATATTCATGGAGAGAAGCACAG